TATAAGGAGGGACATAGGTGTGAGCATTACAGCCACACAGTGCTGCATTGTAGAGTTAGACTTTTGAGTAGTTTCAGTGTCTTGCAATTTTGGGTGGACCTAAAATAATGGCTTGATGACACACTGGAGCCATCATTATTATAATCACTCCCACACCATATAAAAACTGTGTCACTATCTACAAAGTTCCTAGTGCACGAGTAAACTTTACAATGTTGACAACAGTGTAATAGCTATTACCACTGACATGTTAACGCAGCCGAGCTAGCTACGGTAAACATCTGGCCTACTCCTTCCAACAGATTAATTTGGATTTCTCACAACTAATAAAACCAGACTAACTAATTCAGCAAACATTTAAGAAGCTGTGCATCACTCGTAGTATCCAGTGGGTTTTCACACTCCTGAAAAATGTGTCCTCTCTTCCTCCTCCTCCGTCACCATAAATTCAACCATTGTCTTATGTTCCACATATTTTTCAATTAAGAGACTGGTATGGTCCCTAAATTTTTCCTGCAGGAAATGGTTACAGACCATATAGCAACCAATAAGGGAATACTTAAAGCCGAGTGCAAATACTTAGAGATCAAAGAGTTTGCCCTTACAACATCCCAAGGACATTCTAATGGTGATGTTATATCAGAAGCATACTGTATGTATTGTTGCATGTTATTGTACAGTATGTATTGTATTGTATAGATAGATGTAGTTTAATCCTTAGGGTATGCATGCTGTTGACTGTTTGAGGTGTCCTGATGAGATTTTAACACACAACCAATGAAATAATATTTACTGAAGCCAAGATATTAACAGACATTTTCTATACAAGTAAAAAAAATGACATTATATAAATGTACAAGCCTGTGGGAGGCTGCCATTGTTCAGAAAGTATTGGAAATACCTGAGTATGACCGTGGTCTAGGTTCACATCGGTGTTTCTTGGTCGATGATTGCCATTTGCTGGACTCGCCCTGAAAATCCAACTTTCTCTTTCCTTATTGGATGGGGAAAAAAGCAAAAAAAAAAAGTTTGTTGCATGTACCTCTCACATAATTGAAACATGGTCTCAATATACCAAATAAAAAGGAAAGTGTTGCGTTTAAATGTTTGTTTAGTAGAGTTGCCTAGTCAAAGCAAGATATTGTTGCATTAAAAACACATGTTAACACTACATGTAATCATTAAGATACTGTGTATCTCACCTTTATCACTTGAAGCACTGGTGGATGGATGAACCTGAGGTTGAACAAGTAAATTTGTGTTTGATCAAGAAAATATATTTCCATAGCATTTGTCCTCCAACAGGACTCTACAGGCTTAAACACAATTTACAATTCACACACCAAAATTTGCATTTATGTTCTCATTCAGTCTGGGATGAGCCGGGTGAAACCCTGGGAAGTGGAGTCCAGAGAAGAGCTAACAGCTGATCAAGTTCAGTGTCCTTTTTCCCCCTAGTCAACATTGTGATTCAATGATACGATTCTTCAGTCAGAGTTTCAGTCTTTGTCTCAGGACTCTTCAGTGCCTAAAATGGAATAGTGACTTGTCCTTGGTGGGGCTACAGCACTGTAGGTAGCTCTGTATATTCTGGCCATTTTTGTCTTTTTAAACATTTGTATTTTGAAAGTATTTCTCCTGTCACAGAAAGTGAGACTGAAGTTTGTGTTTCGGATGTTATTATCATACTGTTGGTGATGTGTCCTTGTTTTTATTCCAGTACTCTGCAAAGATTTGACACCTGACCGCCCACCTGCTCTTATCCAACAACTCTCTGAAGCTCAGTCCGCCACATGGCACGACACAGCATGGAGGTCATTTTTAGGTTCATGAAATGTACCCAAATTCATAAATATGTAGGATATTACCACAGACCTAACTGTATTCTTATGTTGCTTTGCTACGAGCTCACTGCAAAAACTCAAAATCTTACCAAGAATATTTGTCTTATTTCTAGTCAAAACAAATCTCATTACACTTAAAATAAGACTCATCACTGGGAAAAGTAACTTGTTTTTAGACAATTTTCACTTGGAATAAGTAGAAAAATTTGTCCATGGAGTAAGTTTTTTTTGCTTGTAATAAGAAAAAAACACTTAATCAATGGACAAATTACAGAAGCAAACTGTATGGATTGTTGCATGTTACTGTATGTATTGTATTGTATTGTACAGATACTTGTGGTTTAATCATTATGGCATGCGTGCTGTTGTCTGTTTGATGTGTCCTGATAAGATTTTAACACACAACTAATGAGATAACATTTACTGAAGCCAAGATATTAACAGACATTTTCTATTAAAAAAGTAAAAAAAAAACCACATTACATAAAGGTATAACCCTGTGGGAGGCTGCCACTGCTTAGAAAGTATTAGAAATACCTGAGTATGACACAGGTTCACATCGTTGTCTTCTAGTTGGTGATTGCCAATTGCTGGACTCACCCTGAAGATCCAACTTTCTCTTTCCTTATTAGATTAAAAAAAATTTGTCCATGGAGTAAGTTTTTTTTTTGCTTGTAATAAGAAAAAAACACTTAAATAGACAAATTTTTCTACTTATTCCAAGTGAAAATTTGCTTGAAACAAGTGAAAATTGTCTAAAAACAAGTTACTTTTTAGGTGATGAGTCTTATTTTAAGTGTAATGAGATTTGTTTTGACTACAAATGAGACATTTTGTCTAGAAATAAGAAATATTCTTGGTAAGATTTTGAGTTTTTGCAGTGCTGGTCTGACTGGCTAGAATCTGGCAGATGCATTTCTGGTGGTTGACCAGCCAGCCTGGTTAAGTCACCTTCTAGCTAGCAATGTTGCCAGGTTGGTCCAAACAGTCAATAGTAGCTGAAAAGTAAATGAGTATTGAAAAAAAAATAAAAATGTCTGCACTATGATGAACCAGGCCAAACTTTTGTCAACCCAGCAAATTCATTTATTCCATCCTAAAGCTGCCCAGTTGGGTGGAAAATCACTGGATCTGGCAACATTTATNGAACCAGGCCAAACTTTTGTCAACCCAGCAAATTCATTTATTCCATCCTAAAGCTGCCCAGTTGGGTGGAAAATCACTGGATCTGGCAACATTTATTGGAAAAATTGTCAACCCCAGATGCAGCTGTTTTTGACGTGTCAATGATACGACCACCAGGAAATCCTAACATCAGTGGTGTAGTGGAGGGTATACTCAGGTATACCCACTTCTTTTTCTATCCAGTAACAGTATACCCACCTATCAGCTAAAAAGCCATTGTAATATATAGGAGAGTATGCCTACTTCCTCATTGGTAACCTACCTATGTACCTAGCAGTAGTACACCCACCTCATCAACTACCACTACACCACTGCCAAACATATTACAAATATTGGCATCAGGCAAACACATGCCCCTTCACACAGAGACAAAGAATATAGGCAGTGCTTATTGTAATAATGTATGCTTTGTGTGAGAGCATCGACTGTAATTTATACACACACACAACACAATAATAACAAAAATAGTTTTCCTATAAAAATATGTATTTTCACACTTGGAACTGCAGGAGGGGCAATGCCCCAATGCCCTTAATGGACAACACACCACTGCTCAAAGGCATAGTAATGAAGAATAGAGGCACGTTCCCTGTTTACATGCCTCTGTAATTCAAAGTCATACTTTGGCTACCTGAGGAGAAACAGCATCTTTTTTAGACTCCGTACACCAGTTTACATCAGTGAATTGTAGGGAATAAAGTTTCTTTTTAATTATTTAATCATCTTTTCCCCTCAATTTATTAAACACACACGTTCAAACAGACATCTGAAGAACATGATATTAGTTCATTACAATACAACTGAGAACATGGCTGCCATGTCAAATAGTTGGGCAACAGTGCCTTAGATGATACTTTACTGTGTGAAACTGTTTTCAACTTACTTGAGCAGGAGAATCAACTGTTTCTGGATTTGTTGTGTTTGGTTCCTCCTAGTAACAAAAGAAAATAGATGCAAATCAATAATAGTTCAAGTTGCACTCTGGAGGAAGATGGTTGATTGCTGAGTCTCATTCCCAGGTCGTCAAATACAGATGCTTTACATTGGCAGTTGGACTGAACAACCAACCCAAAGCGTTGGAATTTGACGACCTGGGAATGAGACTCAACAATCAACTATCTATGCCATTGGTGCTCAAGGCCCTGGTGAAGGATTTCTCTGGCCTCTGGAGCACTCCTATCTGAAGGCACTGTCATTCAACACAGCTTTGCTTCTTGCATTGACCTCAGCTAAGAGTGTGTGTGAACTAAACACCCAATTGATGCACCAAAGTTGCTTGCTGCTTCTTGGTGACAGCAATGGGTCTTCTCAGACCAAATCCCTCCCTTCTCAGACAAAATTAGCACAGGCAGAGCCCTCTACCTTGAGGCCATGGCTCGCTGAGGAGGATGTTGGATGTTTGACGGCGGGCACACCACCTCTTATATACAGTGTTCAGACAGGCATGTCCTGACTGGTTGGCTATGTATATCCAGGTTCAGTGTGTGAACGCAAGCTTGGGATTGGAGGAGTCGTATTAATCATAAAACGTACAAGATCTTTACTCATGCTGTTTTTTACTTTCTAAACACAGACAAGAATTGTCAGGATTTGTCAACACTGATCACTCCTTTTGTCTTAAAAATATGTCAGCACTGTGCTGCAGAAACATGTTGCAGCATTTTTTATGTCTGTATTAGTAGATACCAACATTATATAATATTTGTGCCCAACACAGAAGCATGGAAAGACATTTCAGTATTACCTTGAAATGTTTCTATCAGCTCACTGAGATCCCATGTAGTTTATTCGTTCTGGACAAAATCATCCATGACCAAGAACAGCAACTGTAAGGTAAAGAGAAATAAACAGAAAATTATGTTTTGATCAACCATTACTGCTTGGCATTTTGGAAACAGTTACAATCAATTATAGTTCAATAAAGGAAAAGAAGGGATCATGAGACTGATAATGGCATTCTGACAAAAGTGTCCTCAGCAAATATTTGGTGGAAAGTTACATCACAAATAACTGACCATCTGTCGTTTCTTTCTACTAAAGTCTGCTCTGCTTTTCACTTACCTGTCCACACATTTCAAACAGACATTTATTTACAGCATCATTAGCTTGTTGTAAATGTTAATATGTGAAAAGAAATCCAACCTTAACTAGAAAAGTGCACTCAGTAGAGTGCAGATCTCTGCCAGCCACCTGGGCTGATCGCTGCCACTAAAGACAATTGTTGTAATTCCAGCAGACACAGTGCAGAGTGTTTCAGAAGCTCCCAGAAAAAGAAACATGCCCCTTGTCTGTTTTTGACGAGCCATGGTGTAACGACCAGAAACCCGGTAGGACTCAACAGCACGACTCAGAGGCAGGGATAACGTCCAAAATAATCCAACAATTTAATAGCAGCAAAAAGGTCCGGTACACAGAAGATCAATCCAATATCAGCAACCAAAACAGACAAGGAGTGGGCTAAAGGCAGAATCACTAGACTCTAAACACTAGAAAACTGACACGAGGAAAATTAATGCTGGAACGCTCGATACAAGGACAAAGGTGATCTGGCACAGAGGGAGAGGAAGACAAAGACTAAATACACACAAGTAGAGGAAGTAATGAGACACAGGTGTAATGAACTAGGGTGGGGCAGGTAATCACAGAAGCGGGAAACACACTGGGGCAGGAAGTGAAGCATCTGCAATGACAAGACGTGAGTATCACCAAAATAAAACAGGAAATGAACATAATAACCTGGGGGTATTCCAGAATGCGGGTTTAGTGAAAACTCTGAGTGTGTTAACCCTGAAATGAGGAAAACTCTGGGTTTTCAGTTCCAGTCAGAGAGGTGAGTCAAACTCTGAGTCAATCACCATGGCAACTGACTCTGAGAACCTAACCTGCTTGCTGGCAGGTTTTCTTTAAGAAACCCTGAGTTCACCCTGTCTCCTCCCTACTGCCGAGCCTGAAACAAGCTGATAGACAGACAGACATGGGTTGTCTGTATGTAGAAAATCTGATCGATATCGAGGCAGAATTAATTTGCAATGCTTTACACCGCGAGAGGATCTTCAGACCCCGTTTAGGTGTGCTGTCATTCCCCAATGACTATCTAATGACTTTAGTTGTTATTTTTTCTCAGACATGTTAGGATGTTACATACCTTGACATGTTTCGGCGGAAACTTCCACCTTCCTCAGAAGTGTCACTTGGTGGAGGTTGTGACGTGTCTTTATCAGCTGATCTGTCAATCAGCCGATATTAGGGAGGCATGACTATCCTGTCACGCCACCTGCTGACTTTCTGCCGCCTCTCCAGGACGCTGCTCCAGGTGTGGGAGAGCATGTATGCCCACTTGTCTCTGTTCATCGTCCCTGGGCCCAAATTCCTTATTTCAATGGCCTCCCTGATCCAGTGCCGGTATTTGCTGTCCTCGGTGCGTATGTCCCAGTCCATAAGATGATTTTCCCATTTTCCCTTTTCTTTTATTGATCTTGTTTGTCTTATTTTCGTCTCCTTCTCACATTCCTTTTGATGTTCTTTTTTACGTGCGCTGAAGCTCCTCCCTGTCTCCCCAGTGTATGTTTTATTGCATGATTGGCATGGTATCTTGTATATGGTGTTGCATTTATTGTTTTGTTTGATCTCGTCTTTTGGGTGTACCACAATTTGCCGTAGTTTTGTGTCTGATTTGACCGGTGTGTTTATGTTGTGTTTCCTCATAGTTCAGCAAGAAACTTATGGACTGGGACAAGGCCAGAGCACGTCCGCGGTGTGTCAGATTTGATATGTGTGGCAGGTAAATGATTAAGTCTAATGAAAAACGGTACCGTTCAAACATTGGGGGTTCAATGCCCCCTATACTGAGTTTTTCCATGGAAAGAGCTTTCTTCTTGCGTCATCTACCTTAGTGCAGGTGGTGGTTCTATCAAAGAGAACTATGATAAACCTCTCAATAATGCTCATTGCATCATCTGGGATCTCCTTTGGTCCACTTGCCAGCGTCAGTAGTGCATCTGTCAGTTCTAGCAGCAACTTCCATGTTGACCATGCTGCCTTCTTTCCATGTCCAGCAAAGCTGGATATGGTGTCACAGCCTGTCAAAGCATGGAACATTGGAAGGGCTCATGACATCTCTGGTCCGAGACATGCAGCCATTTGGTGGGCTGTGTGTTCTATTCCAGTATATTAAGCTATAAATGTACCAAATTTGGCATTTTTATCGCAAAAATGAACATTTTTTTTATGCCACCCAATTTATTAGTTTGTTAGCAGAATTATACAAAAACTGCCAGCCCGATTTTCACAAAATTTAGTGGAGGAATGTAACACATGCCAACTTGGAATACATTAAATTTTGGTGTTGATCACAATATACTGCAACTAACCTGTTTGCTACGATTTTAATTAAGTGTGGTTAAATGTTAAATTAATGGACTAGTGCATTCTAACTTACGAGTTGACTCAGGCAGCAATTTTCTCCCATGCTGCCTCTCTCTCCTTGGCAGCTTTAGCGGTGTTACTTTTTTTTATGAAATATATGGTCATATTCGCTGTAGGCATTCATGAGCACCTCTGATTCCACAGGTGTAAAATAAGTTGATCGCTTTTTCTTTTCGGTTGCCATGGTGAATCGAGGTATCAGGGCTCCATTGAAGATGGCTTTTTATTGTGGATGTGCACGCGCTTAACTCACGGTGTACCTACTCAGAATTGATTGAACTAATTTAAATCAGCTGTTCTGGAACCGGATACTCAGAGTTTCCCAGCTCAGGGTAAGTCAACTCAGAGTTCAGGATTAGACCCAGAGTTTGTCGAACCTCCTACCTGGAATACCCCTCTGAACTGACTGAAAAACTGAAAACATAACCTTAACGTGCAGGCCGAGACTTCACACACGGCATGTTGCACAGAGCTCAGTGAGTTCTCCTGCTAACAGGCACTGTATGTGAAATATAGATAGAGTGTAGTTATAAGGACGAATGTCTTTTTAATAACTTAAAGTCATGTGCAAGTCATAATTGGACGTTTAACGGTAACTTTGTCTTACTGTCTTTGGGCTACAGCACAACAAAGTAGGACGTAACAACAAAAACACAACTGAAAAAGCCAACAACAACTAAAACATTTCACAAATCACTTCCTGTCTTGTGGTAGAAGCACTAACACCAAGGAAAAATGACCAAATCAGAGCACTTTAATTTCCACTGTTAAAAGTAGTTGCAGACAATGACAGGTTGTCTGAAATACTGCATAGAAATATTTGTGTTAAGATATTTTTTATCACAATAAAACCCATTTGAATCTTAAGCTCAGATAAACTGACAGATCTGGTGGCTTACATGCTCCTGTGGGAATAATCACAATTTTAAAAAAAATGACTTAACAAGTTTTAGTTAGTTTGGTATCTTATATAATATGTTGGTTTTTAAATATGCAGGTCATCATTTTGAATAGAAGCCTCATTAAACTGCAGCAGTATCCCACCACGTTAAATATTAAATCTATAGTGAATGAATGTCTGGGCTATGGAAACAAAATAGTGACAAAACAGCACACTAGGCTACTACATAGTATTAGCAGTTAAACTTAGTCTCTCAGTAATATATTTAGCTGTGAATGTAATGCACTGAGGTTAGTGTACTTACATCTGGACTGTTCGTCTTTAATGCACGTACATGACTCCTCTGATACTTGATCTAACATGGGCACTTTGTTTGTGTAGTCAACACCCCTCATTATCATACTTTCCTCTCTGCCCACAGAACAGGTTCAGCAGGATAAATTCAAATGTGGAGATGTGCTGCAGATAATTGTCATGAATTCATCAGTGTTTAAAAGGCAGTGATGATACAAGTATTTGTAAAAGTAAAAGTATCAATACCACAACATAAAAATCCTTCTTCAGTAAAAGCATAAAAGTTTTATTAGTGAAATCCAGTGTTTCAGGCCACTGACTGGCATATTATTATAGATGACATTAATATAACCTATTGTTAATACTGATGTATGAAAACTCTTTTTCCTTAAGAGACCTTTTTTCTATAAGTGACATATTTTATGGATCTTTCATGATATATTCAGTGCATAACAACAACAGTAGGCCTACAGAATAACTGATGAACTGTATAATTAACCTAAATAATGAATGTGATAACTGCAGGAAGTTTGTGTAAAAAGAGCAAAGTGGATGAATTTTTAACAGATTATTTCCTTTGCACATTACATCAGAGATAAGATTTCCTGGTGGTTTTAGGAACTGTTTATGTATTTTTACAATTTCAATGTTTTCTTCTTCCTGACACTTGGCCAATGTTCTATTAGCTTCTTGGTTTTTGTGTATTTAGCAGAGTTTAGGCTCTGTGAACTGGCATATAGCTTGCATTCAGGACTTCAGGAGCCCTTATATTGTGAAATGGGGCCCCACACAGCTATAGATTTATGATGATGTTTAAATATGAAAAATATTGAACTATGCGCTATTATAACTCATTGTACCTCCAAATATCTTAAAGGGTCCAGAGCACTTTTTAAGAATGTGTACTTCTCCTTTTACTCCAAAGGAAACATTGTATTACTACACTTCCATGACACATAAAGCTGCAGCTTGTGGTCCCAAAAAGCCGCTTGAAAACAAGAGGTGACCGCACCTTCTCGGTAGCTGCCCCTAGGCTATGGAATGTCCTGCCTGCCCATGTCAAAATGGCCCCCACTGTAGAATCTTTTAAGTCCCGCCTCAAGACCCACTTGTTTTCCTTGGCTTTTGATTCTGGTTGACGAGTAGACCAACCTGTCTCTGTGTCTTTTATCCCTTGAGCTGACGCTGTACTGTCTGTATGGCTTCTGTATCTATGACCTGTATATTTCGTATGTGTATTTCTGTATAGTCCTACGTGGATATTCAGTATATTCTTATGTGGATTTCTATATATTTCTGTATATGCTTATGTGTAGTTTTGTGCAGCACTTTGGCAACTCTGTGTTTTTGAAAAGTGCTAAATAAATAAAATGGACTAGACTGGACTGGATATGAAGAGGAGCGGGCTTTTGTTGAGCTTGTCCTGAGCTCTGGATAAGGTGACTTGAGGTGAATGGGGTGGAGGAGGGTGTGACGACTCCACCTAAAATAACAGCTGACAGGAGCAGAGAGGAGAACAGAGTTAAAGTTTGGCAGCAACAGCATGAATGACTGACGGAGATCGTGGCAAAGTTTGATTGGCTAACTAGGAGAGGGAACACCCATAGTCAGCTGACTGGTGGAAGTGGTGGCAGTGGGATAGAGAGAGGATTGTGGATGGATACAACATAAAAAGTCTTCCTGACTGAACTTATGCTGAGCTTCATCTAGTTTGTCTTGTTTTCAATTCAAAGATTATTACAACTAAATTCATCAACACCAACAGTTAGTTGTTTTCTAAGAGTGAAGTTATTGAATTATTGAATTTGTAATACTCCTTTTCGACGTTGCACTTAGTAGACGGCCCCTGTTCACCTGTCTCACACAGCAGGCTGCGCTCAGAGGATAACGGTATCTGTCCAACTTGGATGGTATGTAGCTTGTTATCTC